ACACACACACACACACACACACACACACACACACACACACACACACACACACCACATACAGGTGCTGGCCAGTAAATTAGAATATCATCAAAAGGTTGAAAATATTTCAGTAATTCCATTCAAAACGTGAAACTTGTACATTATATTCATGCAATGCACACAGACCAATGTATTTCCAATGTTCATTACATTTAAATTTGATATTTATAGGTGACAACCAATGAAAACATCAAATCTGGTATCTCAGAAAATTAGAATATTCTAAAGGCCAATGAAAAAATGTTTGTTTCTCTAATGTTGGCCAACTGAAAAGAATGAACATGAAAAGAATGTGCATGTATAGCACTCAATACTTAGTCGGGGCTCCTTTTGCCTCAATAACTGCAGTAATGCGGCGTGGCATGGACTCGATCAGTCTGTGGCACTGCTCAGGTGTTATGAGAGCCCAGGTTGCTCTGATAGTCGTCTTCAGCTCCTCTGCATTGTTGGGTCTAGCGTATTGCATCCTCCGCTTCACAATACCCCATAGATTTTCTATGGGGTTAAGGTCAGGCGAGTTTGCTGGCCAATCAAGGACAGGGATACCATGGTCCTTGAACCAGGTGCTGGTGGTTTTGGCACTGTGTGCAGGTGCCAAGTCCTGTTGAAAGGTGAAGTCTGCATCCCCATAAAGTTGGTCAGCAGCAGGAAGCATGAAGTGCTCTAAAACTTCCTGGTAGACGGCTGCATTGACCCTGGACCTCAGGAAACAGAGTGGGCCAACACCGGCAGATGACATGGCACTCCACACCATCACTGACGGTGGAAACTTTACACTGGACCTCATGCAACGTGGATTCTGTGCTTCTCCGCTCTTCCTCCAGACTCTGGGTCCTTGATTTCCAAAGGAAATGCAGAACTTGCTTTCATCAGAAAACATAACTTTGGACCACTCAGCATCAGTCCAGTCCTTTTTGTCCTTGGCCCAGGCGAGACGCTTCTTGCGCTGTTTCTTGTTCAAGAGTGGCTTGACACACGGAATGCGACACCTGAATCCCATGTCTTTCATGAGTCTCCTCGTGGTGGTTCTTGAAGCGCTGACTCCAGCTGCAGTCCACTCTTTGTGGATCTCCCCCACATTTTTGAATGGGTTTGTCGTCACAATTCTCTGCAGGGTGCGGTTATCCCTAGAGCTTGTACACTTTTTTCTACCACATTTTTTCCGTCCCTTCGCCTGTCTGTTAATGTGCTTGGACACAGAGCTCTGCGAACAGCCAGCTTCTTTAGCAATCACCTTTTGTGTCTTGCCCTCCTTGTGCAAGGTGTCAATGATTGTCTTTTGGACAGCTGTTAAGTCAGAAGTCTTCCCCATGATTGTGGTGCCTTCAAAACAAGACTGAGGGACCTTTTAAAGGCCTTTGCAGGTGTTTTGAGTAAATCAGCTGATTAGAGTGGCAGCAGGTGTCTTCTATATTCAGCCTTTTCAGAATATTCTAATTTTTTGAGATACCAAATTTGGAATTTTCATTAGTTGTCACTTATGAATATCAAATTTAAATGTAATGAACATTGGAAATACATTGGTCTGTGTGCATTGCATGAATATATTGTACAAGTTTCACGTTTTGAATGGAATTACTGAAATATTTTCAACCTTTTGATGATATTCTAATTTACTGGCCAGCACCTGTAGGCTTGTTACACATAAAATGTAGCTTCTGGTCATGACACCTTCTTTGTAAATATATGTATATAATGTAAATGTAAATATGTATATAATTTTGTGGCTTTCTGAACCTGAACCTGTTATGCTGGACATTTTTGGGAGTGGCAGAGGTAGACAGAAACTCCATTTTTAGCTTATAAGCATTTTTACATGAAAAACGACAAGCCTTGCTTACTGTATTTAATTTTAAATAAAAAGTTGTTTGACCATTTTTGTTTTTTACTCACACCCTATAGCATCATTCTGAGTGCTGAAAATGGTTAAAATGTCTTATTTTCTACTCAGATTTGATTTTTTGTTTACTTTCAGGTTCAGTGTGCTAATAGAGTATGACAAAATGACTCTAAATTCACATAGGCGAGGTTGTGCTGAAAAGAATGATACCAAACAGGGCATAAACAATTATGTATAGAGTGAAATATAAAGGTGAACACTAAAACTTGTCAAAACAGCTAATTATACCACCGTCTCCAGAGGGTTCATGACTTCTATAGAAGGCCTGAGTGGAGACTTACTGAGAAACCTGACTGTAGTTTAGTTTCTGCTTTCACTTGTCTCTTCAAACCTCCCAACACACACACACACACACACACACACACACACACACACACACACACACACACACACACACACACACACACACACACACACACACACACACACACACACATACACGCACACACACACACACACACACACACACACTGGTAGAGTGGGCGGGTAAAACAGGTATTTTGATAATGAGCCTTATTATGCGTGTTTTAATCTGTCATTTCTCGGGGCTCCTGGGAGATTTTAAGCTCCTACAAAATTTTATACATTTTATAGAGGCTCAGAGATCAGTTTTAGATTGCTGATTAACTGCATTCTAGATCCCTTACAAAAGAAGTGTGGCAGCTGGGTGTAGTTTCCCCTCCTTGTCTCGTTGTAGATCGCCCCCTGGGGCTGAGGACTCGCCTCCAGCAGTGGTGACCCCAGAAACTTTCCACAGGGGCAGCCAGATGGAGCCAATGAAAACTTTGGGGTGGAACACCAAATTGGTCCCTGCTGGGCCCTTTCTGTCTCAACAGAAACATCCAATAAAGTACTTTTTCTTTCTAAATGATGAGCCTAGCTAAATAAGGCGTAGGCGATAAGTTGAAAACTATCAAATACGACTGTCTCTGTCGGTGTCTCACTGAGAACTGAACGTTTGATGAACTGTAGGACAAAAGAACTCTATTCTGCTTTGATGTGATGACATCACAACACAGCATGATGACATCATAAAGAATCTGGGTATAGCAGGGCCTGTGCACACTTTTTGTTGCAGCCAGGTCCGTTTCTCAATACTCGAGGACGCTAATATCTTCTTGTGTTTCTCAAATCCAGTCCTCAGGACCCCCTGCTACACATGGTTTCCATGTTGCCCTCTCAGTCACCACACACACACCTGACTTAAATGAATGAGTGATTAACAGGCATCTGCAGCACTTGATGTCTTCCTTCATGTAAATGTGTTTAAAACCATAAATGAATGAATTCCTCATGTAATGTTTTATCTGTGTCACAATTTCAACCCCTCCTCTTTTATCCGGGCTTGGGACCGGCAGAAGTGACCCAGAGAGGGACACTCTGGCAGAGTTAGTTGTGTTTTTATTTTTTATTTTTATTGGATAAAATTATAATTTATTATAAGTAATAACATCTAATAGCAGATAAAGCTACACTAAAGCAGCCAATAACAGCCTGTCTCAGGCTGAAATCTGCATATTGGAACTAAACCATTCTAACATTTTCCATTTGGATTTTGGTTTCTGGCTTTTTCCACCTGCTGCTTGAGAATTAATATTTATTCTAACATTTTCTTGGTGACTAACTTTCTCTCTCCTGTTTCCTGTTGAAGGATGTTCCCTTCGTTGTCTGACGTTTCCGTGGGTTTTCCAGAGAGAGAGGTGCAGGAATCACCTCAACTTTCTTCTCTGGGTCTGGTTTGACAGACTTTTCTTGATCCAGCTGTTTATTTTCCTCTTTCTGGTTACTAACACAACATGCTGATTCTCTGGTGTGTTGTGTGCCTTTGCATATCCCATCATGTAAACAGTTATGGTGGACTGCCAGGGCCTTTTTTGGGCTCAGTCCTGCAGTGGGTTGAGGCAAATGTAGGAGATGATAGGTGACTCTGTTAGGGGTTGAGAGGTGTCTGAGTTAGGAGGGATCTAGCTTGGTGCCGGTTGAATTGGGTCCAGAGCTTTGAAGACTTTAGTTTCTGTTTAACCAAAGCCAAGGGTCACGCTGGAGCTGCTTTAAGGTGGGACGCCACCATGGGTTTATACAGAAACAGCTCTTTAGGAAGTTCGTACAGTATGGAGAGAGGTCCGTCCTGATTCTGAGTTTGTTACTGAAAAACTTTTTTGAGTCAATCAAACTTTCGTGGAGCATTTCATAGAGAACAACTCCCACCTGCCACACGGTTGCTGGTCCTGCCTTATAAATGCGTTCTGAAATAAACTCAGGTGGGTCGTGTTTCGCTGTGCCGTAGAACCGGCCGTTTTCATATTCTGTGTTGGTGAAACAACTCACTCCAAAGTCAATCAGTCGCAGTTGCGGGATTTCCGATCCTGTTTCAATCAGAATATTTCGTGGTTTGATGTCTCTGTGGAAGATGTTGGTGTCCTCCAGCTGTTTAATAATTGTTTTAGCCTGATTCTCCTGTAGGGGCTCTTTGTTATTTTGAATAAACTGTGAGAGGTCCACTGCAGGCACTGGTCTCTCCAACACTAGAATCTGTTCCTGGTTGAAATCGTACCAGTCCAGGAGGGAAATTGGAGCGGACTTCCCCACCGAATCAGCTGATTCTGTCTGGAGTTTTAGCATGGCGGCTACCTCAATGCTGAGCTGCTGGCCGTTCTCGTCCGTATCTGTCCAGACTACATTCTTCTTTGGTATATGTTTGATTGCCACAGGTAAATTGTCTGCCCTGCGGTAGCCACCATAAACGGATCCACAGCCTCCCTTTCCGAGCTGATCTTTTTGCTCGTATTTTGCCTCAAACTGATCTTTGGCTGAAGGCGAGGGACTCTCAGAATCAGACAGCCTGATTCTCTTTGCTGGACTTCCAGATCCCTCACCATCTGGTGAGAGTGACCTCTTTGAGACTCTGGATGTCTCATCCAGGTTATGTCTGGAGACACTGCCTTCACCTGAAACCCTAGACCATTTTGTGGGAGGTTCGTGATGAAAAACAGCTTTCCTTTTGGCAGAGGACGATCCTTTCTCAGGAACCAAATATCTGCATTCCTTGTCTGGATTTTCAGATCCCTCACCATCAAAGGAAATGGATTTCTTTGTGAATTTGTCAATTTGTATTTTGTTCTGGTTGTTTTCAGAGAGTTTGCCTTCATCAGAAACCTTAAACCTTCTTGTGGGAGGTCCAGGGTCTGAAACGGCTTTTCGTTTGGTTGCTGAAACTAAACCACGATTCTCTGACAAATGTCCATGCTAATATAAGTCTCTGAATCTTTAACCAGAGCTGGAGAGTAACTCTTGAGTGCAAAAGAGTCTCCCATAATGCTAAATAACACGTAGACGATAAGTTGAAACACTATCGAACAACGAGCAAACACGACTGTCTCTGACGGTGCGTCACTGAGAACTGAATGCCTGGTAGTATCCGCTTATGATCTTATGATCACGTGATGATGGAGATGATGATGGAGATGATGATGATGAAGATGATGATGTCATAAAGCAAAGTTCTAAAAGGACAAAGTCAAGGGAAAGGGTAAAGACGAGGCTGACGCTGCTTTTTGGCAAGGCCCTTAGTGCTCTCCACCCGAGGATTGTATCCTTTTTTGTTTCTTCTGATCCGACCCAAGAAGTTCCAAAGACCAGATTTAAAAGTCAAGGAGATCGCTCCTTCCAGGTTGTTGCACCCTGGCTTTGGAATGAACTTCCTTTAACCTTATGTAGTACTGACAGTCTGGTAACCATTAAAAAACAGCTGAAGACCCTTTTATTTAAAGCTGGTTTTACCACAAATATTTTTGTTTTCCTATTTTTTAACTCAAATTTGTAATCATGTTTAATTGGTTTTATGATATTTTATAATTTTATGAGTTTGTTTTATTTGTATTTATTTCTGTTTTGTTTAAGATCTTTATGATTTTATGACTTTATGATTTGTTTTGTTGTTGATCTATGTGAAGCACTTTGTGATTCTCTGTCGGTGATGAGTACTAAATAAATAAAATGTACTTACTTACTTTACTATTATTCTTCCAATTACTTTTACAAGCGGTCTGATAAACCATGGCAAAACTATTAGCAAAAAACACTGAAAAAATCCTTTTCAGTGAATCATTTTCAGTGTGTGTATGTCTCAGTTTGCAAAATAACTAAATATGTAAACAATTAGTTAATTACTGTATTTATTAATTATATGTAATGATAAGGTAACCCCAGTATCATTACATGTGTTAAAACGGCAGCGTGCACCCCAATGCATGTTACATCAGAACGACCAACTCAGCCGTGGGAAGTGTTGTATCATGATATGTGGGCGATAAACCAAACATCACCCCAATATTATGATGCTAGGCTTCTATACCACTTGGCCACTGTCTTGTGCCAGCGGCAGGAACCCTTTTAAAAACGTTCTCAGGAATTTTCTAGTTACTTCTTCTTCCTCTTCACCAGAGAAAATTATCTCTTGATTAGGAGCGTGCACCCTCACAAATGTTACATCAAAACAACCAGCTCAGCTGTGAGAAGAGTGCTACTGTATGTTATGATTTTGGAGTGTTCACCCCTACATCACCCAAGTATCATGACTTGGTCCTGTAACACAGAGGCACTCTCTTTTGCCAGCCAGCAGATCCCTTTTAAAAAAATTTCAGGAAATTACAAGTTAAATATGATGATGATGATTATTATTATTATTAGTAGTAGTAGTAGTAGTAGTAGTAGTAGTAGTAGTAGTAGTAGTAGTAGTATAGTTGTTGTTGTTGTTGTTGTTGTAATGGAGGGTTCAGGCAAGATGGAATTTTGGCTACCTCTGCAACAGTGTAATACAACTTCCTTCATCTTTTTAAAATAAGAGTCTCTAAACATAATCCTCAACATATCTGAGGCCTAATAAAGTTTATTGTTTTCTTTAGAATATTTATTAATGGCTGGTTGGGCCTAGCCCTCCAGGGAGCCAGCTCCCCCACTGGCCCATATAGGCACCTCTGCTGTCAAATTGCCACCCAGGGCATGGAGACCCCAGCCCATCCTGCCAGGGCCCAAAGCAGCAGCATCGCTAGGCCCAATTAGCCATTCCTCCCCATCCCTGCATATTTCTCTCCTCCTGCTCCCTCACATCATCACACAAATATGCACATAGGACCTTGGGGGGTGGGTAAGTCAGGGAGTACGGGTATGGACTCCATTTCCGCATTCCTGTGGCAACCTGCCCCCCAATTTTATTTGCACCTTATACACTTCCACCGAAGACATTCCACGCAAACACACACTTAGGGCCTTGGAAGTGAGCACATTCAACGGCACTTGGCAGGGGGATTTCTCAACCTCCTCCCGAGTGCCGGTGCCCACTTCCAATTTAAAACTGCACTTAGACACCGAGGGCTGTGGGTGCAAGTGGGGTGGTGTGGTGGCATCAGCTGGCATAGGCCAGACAATGCCCACACTGCCCACTCACCACAGCCATGGAATACACCTCATCAACACACAACAACACTATATTGGAGCAGGCGGAGGGAGACTAGGGGTCTTAGCACACCTCTGTTGTTGCTTGGCTTCCTGGGGCTGGAGGCTAGGAGGGAGATTTGGCCGTCTGGTTGGGGTCTGGGGTGGTGGGTTGCTGTGCTCAGCGTTGGCCGGGGGAGCCTGCTCATCAGCACCCCAGCAGAAAGGGTCAAACTCTGGTAACCGGTAATGGTTGTACCCCATGTGCAGCAGTACCGGAACTAGATTGAATAGGGTGTGTATGGGGAGCATGAGTGGGTGTCCGGCGTGCATTTTTGTAAGTCCTTGGTTGTATGTATATGTGTGAGCATGAGGGAGGGAGTGTGTGACTTTGTTTGTGTATGACTGTATATGTCAGGTGGGGCCTTTGACTCCCCTCTTCTCCTGGGACTTCTTTTTATGATATAGATCTTCGTCTCCCCTCCCCCTGCCACACCTGGTGTGGGGTGTGGTGCCTTGGTCTGCCTGAGTGTTCGTGGCTCCCAGGTCAGGGGGTTTAAGATCTTTGGGGCCTGCCTGGTCAATCCCGGTGGCTGCTTGGTGGGGTCTGGGTCCCTGGGCTCTGCTGGGTCCCTGGCGGGGGTTGTCGCCCCAGGGTCCTGGGTCGCTGGGTCCTGGGCTCGGCCGGCTAGGGGGTGGGAGGCGGCGGGCGGGCCTGTGGGCTTGCCGCTGAGATCTCCAGGGGCTCTGCCGGCTGCTGGTTGTGACCCCCCGGGGCGATCCACTGTGCCTCTCGAGGGGGGCGGGGGCCTTTCTTGTTGCAGTCTCCTTGGGGTTCCTGTGTTCTGGGGCAGCGCCTGGATCTCTGGGACTTGGAGCCCCCCCCCCCCCCCCCCCCCCCCCGTCTCCTACACATCTTTGGGGTCGGATTTGTGGTCCCTCACACTCTCTATTGGACGCTCCTATAGAGAAACCTTACATAAACAAGCATGTGTACACACACAGGTGCTCACATGGTGCTCTCAAAAGTATGGACTTGGGCACGTTCAACACATGTCTTAAGGCTGTCGTTGCCACTAAATGCACTATGATTTATTATCGTGTGATTGTTCAGTTAAACAATGTTGGTTTTATATTTCATCATCAGGTTAACGCGGTGATAGCTTGCTCCTGATGTATTGTTGTGTGTCCTATTTTTCTTCTTCTTTTCTTTCTCTTTCTGCAGGTCTAGAAGCAGACTCTTGTTAATTATTGTTTATTTTTGTGGACCCCTTCCCCCCTTCTCCCCGCCTTTTGTCTTTTCCCTTCTCTTTCACCTCTGACTCCATGTCTGGTCGGAATTACAAACCATTCAAAAACAATAACAATAAAGTTTTAAGCATCAGGCGTGACATTAAAAGCAGACGCTTTGGTGCTCCACCTGAGAGTAAATCTGTAAGGCTTGTTACCAGCATTCAGACATCAATTTTGTTTGCTTCACATCCAGACAGGACACGGTAAAAAAAAAAATAATAAATAAAAAAATAGACTTTTTTTTTTTGAAAGTTTGGTGATAAAAGTTGTTAAACTGGCAGTAATCCACTTTGGTCGTACTCGAAGTAGCTGTTAGCCTAACAATCCAGTCAAAACTAATCTGAGTTAGTTCAAAGAACCGTCACCCACAGTCACGTGGGGTAACAGTGGCTCAGGAGTTACATGCTCGCCTCGTAATCGGAAGGTTGCAGGTTCGAGCCCCGCTCAGTTTATCACTGTCCTTGGGCAAGAAACTTAACCCACCTTGCCTGCTGGTGGTGCTCAGAGGGACCGGTGGCGCCTGTGTTCGGCAGACTTGCCCCTTGTCAGTGTGCCCCGCTCAGAGGCTGTGGCTACATTATTGTAGCTCATCCCCACCAGTGTGTGGATGGGTGAATGACCGATTGTGTTGTAAAGCACCTTGGGGGGTCGCAGGACTCTAGAAGGTGCTATATCAAATACAGGCCATTTACCATTTTTACCATTCCACAGAACCACTGAAAAGATCGGAACCACACCTGAGCTGCCTGTTGAAGCTTTCTCTCTGTTCTCCAGGCGTATCGATGACGACTTGGGCCGAACCCATGAACTGGAGCACTCTGCCATCAAGTGCATGAGAGGGATCCTCTACTGTTACATGAGGCAGGCAGATAAGGTGAGTCTGTAGCATTTCAGCGGCTAAATGAAGGTTAGCATTAGAGCAACCGGCAGTTAATCACTGTATTACATTTAAAATGTGTGTTCCGTCCCAGGAAAGCCTTCTGCACCCTGAACAGCTAACACATCTCCATCTTTTCTATTAGAGTAGAAGACACCAGGAAGTGTTTGATTCAGTTCTGGGGGCTTAATAACTGTAATCTGTTAATCACTAGAGACTTTGAATCCGGAGGGAGACATTTCACTCTGTAATAAACTTGATGAAGACTTTAATCGAGGAACAGCAACACATGTGATCTTATGGATATGAAGCACAGGGTTTATTTGTTTACCCTTAACACAGAAACACCCTACGTGTTCTTGTGTACATGTGTGTAGTGTGTATCTTTGAAAGCATCTGCTTCGTCTCATCTTGACCTTGACGACCTAATTTAGGGGAGAGCTTTTCTGTGTCTTAATTACAAAGCTGCGTTTACACAGTTGATTACACAGAGCGGCGTTCGTTACGGCCCTGTCTCCAGTGCTTAAGTAGTACACGAGGTTTTCATACAGGATGTGACACACTGCGGCTGCTGGACAAATAATCCTCCAGATGGGCGCCACTGTTCTCTTACTGTACCGTGTTCAAGGAGAAGAGCTCTCTCCTTCACAGCCATAGTCAAGATCTACTCAGTTTTAGGCAAAAAAACACCAGATTTGTGCTCAAGTTTAGGGCTGCAGCTATCGCATATTTTACTATTTGAATATTCTACCGAAACCCTGTCGATTAATCGAATAACCTATTTCATAATGTTTCAAGTGGAACCAGATTGTGGTCTGATGCTAAAATAATGAAAATAAAACAACCAAATTATATAAGGGTCAATAATATATAATAAATCGGTGTTATCTAGTTCTCTCTTTCCCAGCTGATATTTATAGTTAATAAACATTTTTGGAAAAATGTGACCGATGTTTCATTAACATTTTAGGTTGTATTAATATCACTCATCTTAGTCTAAATAACATTTCTCAGTGGATCCACATATGATATGTAGAAGTTATTTATTTCGATAACATGCTCAGTGGGTCTCCTCATCAGAGTTATTCCAGAGGGGATTGAAGAGGATTAGGAGTACATGGAGCTGGGTTTGTTTTTGCACTATTTAGAAACTAATACACAAACAAAATAAAATACAAACTGTTGTATGTTATTATCATGATATTTATCAAATATGGTTATATATTAGGAAAATAATATATATTTAATTAAAAAAGTCATTAAAATAATTATTAAACACTGAAAAGTATCGAAAATTGGTACCTTTAAGTACCGGTATTGATTTGTAGGTATTAGGAATTGATACCGTATCGATTCTGATGTCAGAGGTACCCATCTCTAGTAGTAGGTGACTGGAAATGCTAACATTTAATTTATTGTAGTAACAATGAAATGGTGGTATATGTTTGTTTTTATGTATGGGGTGGCAACATAATACAATCCAAATTATATTCAAAGATAGAAGCGTTTGTGAATTTCTTGCTACAATGGCTTGCCATAACCCTGCTGCGGTAGCAACAACCTGACTCCGGGTAGCTGCAGCGGCTCTGCTCCACACGGCTGCAGACATCCACAAATAAACAGGATGGAGGGGATTTTTCTGCCGCTTGAAGAGTTTGGTCATTCACAACCATCATGTTTTTTCTGAATCCCACTTGATTGTCATGAGCGTGCTACCCTCTAGCATAATCATTAGTCAGTCTGCCCGTGGTTTCACTCCTGATCCCAAAGTTTGGGGCGTTTCTGCCTTTTACAATGGTTTTTGTCATTGCTGGTTTCTCTATTTTCCTCCATAGCACCTAGATGATCACATTGTGCACCAGTAAAATGTGTTCAGACTGCGGTGCGCACAGTTAAAGAAGCTTCAAATCAGTAAAAACTGATTTGAGGAGTTTAATAAATCAAACCATTCGATGATTCGTTTCAGCCCTAGTCATGTTTGATGGTTTTAGTATATAGAGAATGACAAAGCACATAAAGCACCAAGACTCACCTTACATATGGTTCGTTCAGATGTTTTTAAAATGGTTTTTGTTTACAGATCAAAAACAACAATCTGTTTCCTGTTGAAAAAAATATTTAACAACCTGTAAATAATTTTAAATTGGAGAAAAATGAATGCTGCGGTGGCTAGCTCTGCAGCTAATTTCCATGTGGAATCTTGTTTCTGAACCTGCTTGTGACTAGCCAGTGCCATTGAAAGAGCTACCAGGTAAGATACTAAATGTGTTAAATGACCCGCACTTGTATAGCGCCTCTCAGAGTAAGGACTCCAAAGCGCTTTACACTACAGTGTATCATTCATCCATTCACACACACTGATGGTGATGAGCTACGATGTAGCTACAGCTGCCCTGGGGCGCACTGACAGAGGCGAGGCTGCCGAGCACAGGCGCCACCGTCCCTTCGACCACCACCAGCAGGCAAGGTGGGTTAAGTGTCTTGCCCAAGGACACAACAGCAGAATTCTCTGTCCGGAGCCACGATCGAACCTGCAACCTTCCGATTACTGGACAACCCGCTCAACCTGTTGAGCTACTGCTGCCCCCTACTAAACGTTTATAACCGCTCCACATTAACACACTTTAGAAGGTGTGGATTATCCCTATAAGTCACTAACCTTGTTTGATGTGATCCATTGAAATAGAGAATATTGGATGAAAAACTGATGTCATTTGTTAATACCCAACATTTAGATCATAATCCCTTTAATGACAGATCTGACTCATGTTTATTCAATCATTTCTCTTAATTCTCTTGTTACTCATGGTTAAATGTAGCCCGT